CCAGAAAAATGAAGTTTGTTATAAATAAGACTTGGTTTGATTTTTTAATTTTTTTTTTTTAACCCATGGATGAAATCTACGTGTGGGGAGGATAATTCAAAAACAATGAAAGGAATAGAAAACCTTGTCTTTCAGGGAGGAAATTTGCTCTGCCTTGGCAATAAAGCTCAGGCAGTCCAGAGGGGTGTGATGGGAGCGCTCAGAGTGCGTGATTCGCCTCTGCTGATGGTTGCAGTGATGTTGCAGCAGAGCATGAGCTAAGCTGAGTATGTCATAGCTGTCTGCTGGAAGTGCTGGGGGTTATGCCCCCTTGTACCCTGAAGGAAAGGTCTGTGCTGTACTGAAGCACATTACCAGCTCTCCTCTGTCTTCCAAGGGGGTTTGGGTAACATTGGGGTGCACAGATACAGTGAGCAATCCAGGCGGCACATTGTTGCAAAGCAGAATTGATTGGGGAGGATGGAGCCAAGAGGAATATTCTTTTGCAGTTAATTATTTACTGCAGGGAGAGAGAGCAGCTGATGATGTTTGGTTTATAATTACAGATATCCAGAGGTAAATACTTCAGGATGATCTGGTTTATTCTATGTGTTGCTACCTGTTTCTCTGTAATGTGGGACCAGCACTGTTTAATGACTGGCTCAGTAAAACCAAAACCCCATTACCAACTTCTCACCAGTGGGATATGATTCTATAGCTTCCTGTGTGTGGTGCTAACTGACCTGAATGCTTACAGAGGGAAGTCTTTCCATGCTTGCTGTTTCAATGCAAGCCTGTGGTGCCTATCTGACAGCGATGTGGCTTCTTGGAATAGCTGATCTGTGCTGAAAGATGACTGTGGTTGAAGCCACAGGATTGTGAACAGGGGAGTCCTGACCCCCCCCCATCTGGCCTTGGCTAAGCTGGTTGCTTATCTCACTGGACTTTTCTTTAGGAGGGATACTGACCTAGCACATACCCAGCAAATATCCAGCCTATCTGCTAAAGGGGTAGGATGCCCTGGGTGAGGCACTCTGATAACATAGAGGCAGTGGCAGCCCAGGTACTTGTATACCGCTGTGCTGTGGGCCAAACTTTAGGAGGATTTTTCCTCTAGCTAAATCCATTATAGATCAGACTGCTCGTATGCAAGTTAAATTCAATAGCTGGTGGAGCTGAGTTTAAATGTGTGTGTGTGGGAGCAATAACTTCACGAATACAGAAAAGAGACATTGCTGCAATGTCTCTGGGAAGATGTCTGTACGTCTTCTGCTTGTTTAGCATCCTTGAGAGAACAGCAGACGTGAGGGAGAAGCTGTGGCCTGTGAAATGAAGAGGATGTCGTCCTCTTACTGGGAGAAGAAGAGGAGCAAGATCTAAAAAGCCAGGGAGTAGGAGTGAAATGAGGGATGCAGGTGTGCACAGCGGGGGCTGCTCCAGGCTGCCCTGTTCTCCCTGGCTAAGGCTCTGCAGAGAGAGAAGTGAAGAGGAGATCAGTGGAAAAAGGCATTGGGGAAGCTTCTGTTTTGCAGAGTGGTGTGTTGGTTCTCCTGCTGGTCAGGGCTGAACCGAGGCATGGCTGACTGGCAGTGGAAGTGCGTGGGGCCATATTCCCTGAGAAAGGCAAGAAAAATCTCCAGAAAGTCTGGCCAGCAAGTGCTTGTGCCTGAGGCAAGCTGGGATCTTGTTTAGAGGCTTGCTGAGAAGTGACCTCTGTTCATCAGCAGTTTTTTGGGGTAACGGGCAGCCATCGTGTCAGCCTGCTCCAGGATCACGTTGAGTGCTCTGACACTCCATGCTATCTTCAGCAATTCTGTGGCTTACATCCAGCTCTATTCAGCCTGCTTCAAACCACGTGTATAGAATAAGCTTGAATGAATAAATTTGGAGCCTGCAAATGATGGATTCCATCCCACCCCAGATAGCCACTGCAGCAGCCAGAGCAGTATTCCCGGTGTGGCACTAGGTCCTCTGTTTCTGTAGTGAACATAACAGTCGTGCTGTTTCCCTGCTGATGGCTTTGCATTGGATGTCAGGGGCTTGATGTTATGTGAGGGACTGTAATTCATTCTCCAGGAAAAGGCTGAGCTTGAGAAATCAGGCTTTGGTTGGTATGATAAATAGATAAACCAGTAGTTGATATGTTAAGTAAATAAAACATCACTGTTGCTTGTATGGGACTGATCCTGGCTTGCGTGTATGCTAATTCTGTGATAAATTTTTTTCACTGTCTCCCTTTGGATCTCTGTCTGTAGATGCAATGGCTCCTTTTGGGTCCCACTCTGTGAGATTCCTGCTGTGAACAGCACAACCCTGCTTTGTAGAATGCAAACCTAGCAAATGCTGGTGAAAGCAGGAGATACCTCCTGCCTGGTGTGTGCATGCACACACCCCTTGCTTTCTCCTCTTGTGCGCAGAGGATGAATACATAACCGTACAATATAACCTTGGTCATGCAAGGTTTCTCCCAGTCTTGTTTCTCCCGGCCTTTTCCTGATTTGCACGATATTGTAAGAGGCCAGTCGGCTTTTTCTGGAGGGCTTGTCCCACTTTCCACACAGACAGCCTTGGGCGAGTGGTCTGCTCCCTGACCTGCTTCGACAAACATGTGCCGGCTTCTTGCTCCACTGCTGGGGGAGGCAGGGTGAGGGTAAGTGCTGGGGGCTGGGCAGGGGGAGGACATCACTGTGCTGGTTGGTGGTGTCACCTCCCATCTGGCAGTCAGCGTAGCTGCTGATGGATGAGGAGCTGCACACAGATCCCTGCTTCACTTTCTGCCTCATCATTCTCCTGGGGTGTGTGGTGGCTGTACTGAAGCCTTGGAGGGTCAGATCTGCTCTCTGTCCTCCTAAGAGTACAGCTGCATGTCCTCCATTCTGCTGTACTCAGTTGCAGCTGATGGCTTTGTAGCTATTCTGGTGGCCCCTATATTTTCCAAATATCAAGGTATTGATTCCCAAAACATATGCACTGTAAAGAAATTACTACCATGACTGTGGATGAGGTAGGAAACAGAGGTGTGAGAGAGTCAGATCTAGACATGGAAAAGTGCTCCAGCCCTTGCTTTTCCACAGAAACAAGGTTATGTACTGGTATGGCTCATAGTCACAGGGACCATGTGCAGGGTCTCCACCAGGTCTAGCAGAGCAGGGAGGTAGATGAAGGTGGAAATCTCTGATTCATGAGCAAATTATAGTCATCTGATCCTCACAATTACTGCACCTCATTATCAGGGGCCTGACAAGATATCCTGCTTCACATTCCTTCTATGATGAGCACATTAATCTGTGTTCAGTAGACATCAGTTTATACCTCTGCCCCTCCTCTGTGGTGTGTATCTCAAACAGCCAGCCTTTTCCAGTCTATGAAATGTCCAGGCTTGGCTGCCCCTCATATCTACTAGAAAGTGAAAAATTGCCACGTATCTACCAGTGCCTAAACACCAGGCAGGAGAGGAGAGGCATTATTACCACCCTTTGTTTTACAGCTGGGAATCGGGGAATGAAAATTCACATTAACAGGAGCCTAGAGCAGGGCTGAGAACAGAAATTGTTGTCCTAGTCTGGCACTTTGACTGCAAGGTCAGCTTCCCATTTCCTTTGGTGACTGATGAGCGTCAAAAGATTCAGCACCCAGCTGTTGACGTGTTGCTAATCTGATTTTCTGATGAGAGAAATGCTTTCTTATCACAATGAATCCTGAGAAGGTGGGGGTTGGTTTCCTTTTATCATTTCAAGCAAGGCTGTCTTGACTGTTATTAAAATATTTTAGGTGTCTGGTCTGAGAAGTGATGTGAGTGGAGGGCTGGGTTGGCAGTCCTTTGCTTCCAGTCTTCCAGGCTGTAAGTGGGGTTTGTGTCTGAATAAACGGATAGACATCCCCTGGTAAAACTGAGTGTCTTGTTATGAGCTGGAAAAACAATAAGAAGATTTGGTCAATTTAATAGAAGTGTTGGAGGCCTCTGGATGGGGGTTGTTTTAAAAATCAGAGGGCTTTTGGATCTTAATTTGTGTTGGTGGCAGATGACTGCAAAATGAGCAATCTATATTGGTCATTGGCACTGAGGCACTTGTTGTGGAAAGATCTAAAAAACAAGATTAAGTTAATTGATCAAATTTTTGAGCTTAAAAAATAAAACAAACTTCCCAGGGGGAAAAAAAAAAGGTGGGTTTCTTCAAGAAGTGAAAACCCTTTACTTTTTTTTCCAAAGCAGTTTCCGAGGCACCTAATCTAATCTTTCCAAAACAAATCTCTGGCAGCCTTGGCTCACATGTTTTAAAAAACAGTGTAGAAAGGAATGTATCGTGACAGTTTAATTTGTTGCTGAAATATGCTCACCTCTGGGGTAATTCAGAGCAACTGTGGAGAGGATGATGAACCTGTTCAGGATGGGAGGTGAGCAAAGGGAGGCTGCAGAGATGAAACCGCCCATGCAGAGGCGTAATTCCCAGGATTTAGGTTTGTCTTCCTTTGATTCTAATGGGGCTGTAGTCTGTTCTAAACAGGGCAGTTGTTGCTGAGCCCTTGCTGTGGCAACAAGGGAGGTTTTGGTGGTGATTCTCTGAGGGAGGCGGTAGGGAAGAGCCTCTGATGCTAGCCAGCTTTAGAGATTAAATGGGGGGAGGATTACAGCCCATAAGGTACAGGTTTTGGGGATCTGTAAAGGCCCAGGGCAGCTAGTTGGATTTTGTAGTCACCAATCCAAGGATGCAAACTGAGCTGTAAAAGCTGGCTTGAAATTTCTGCTGTTTTAAAGGAAAAACAAGGGAATTGCCTTGGAAAGGGAGAACAAGGATGCTCTTGAGAAGGCTAAGGAAAGCCCTCCTGAGTTTTAATGGAAGATGTACAGTTTTTTTTTTAAAAAAAAGTATAGAGTTGCTTATCTAAAGTGTGCTCCTTGTGAAGAGGTGGGAAGCTGAGTGCCTAGAAGAGGGCTGGGCTTTCTCAGAGCATGCTACTAAGTATGTGGCTTTTTTTTTTTTTTTTTTTGCAAGCCTTGCAATTGCATTGCAGCGGGATTGTGAGGTCTTGTTCAGATTCAACTGAAGCTGGTTGAACTCTATTGACTGCAGTGGCTTGGATGGTGGGCAGTGCATCTCTCAGGTCAGTTCAGGTTTTCATGTCCTTTGTTTCAAAATTTCTGCACATGGAATTAGTTTATTCAATTTGCAGCTTAGAGCAATTTCAGAAGAAATCCCAGAGGAGGAAAAAAAGAACACTACCACCTGAACAGATCAAAATAATCAAACGGGTTGTGTTGTGGAACTGAGATGTGACTGGCAGCTGCTGCGTGGAGGTGGACAACCAGCAGTCACACTTTCTTAGCATGGCTTGCTCTGCTGGGGCATTGGGAGCAAGTACTGTCGGGATTAGAGTGCAAAGAGATAATGTTTAAAATCTGAGGTAGGAGCTGGTGAACTTAGTGACAACTGAATGCTGGGGTGGAAGAAAAAACTCTGCCAACAGTAAGTCACCCTTTCAGGGAGCTGAATTAAACTTCTCATTTCCTTCTGAACTCTTCAGTTCAGTCCCACCATGGGTGAACGTTGTGCAGTCTCTTCCATGCTTTTTTCCCCCTGTTTGATTTGAGGGCCCTTTGTAGCAACTTATCCCCTATGCACCCTGGTATCAGGGAAGTTATTCTGCCTGCAATCCCCATCTGAGCTTAATTTTGTTGTTCTCCATAGCATGAGGACTGATGGCTTCACAAATCTCATAATACCTCCTCCATCTCTCCCCTGGCCAGCCCAGCAGCATGACAGCTTCATTTAACATGCACTGTCTCCTTTGGCTTCCTGTCCCTAGACTCATTATTTTGCAGGCGTCTGTATCAAGCTCCTGTGTTGCCTGCCCAAAAGGATTGTATATCAGAAGTAATGAAAAGGAGAAGAGTCCTCAAGGCTGGCCTGTAAATCCCAAGTCTGTTTACTAGAAGAAATTGCAGTTCTCTCCCATGTCCTTGACCCAGCCCTGTTGCATGTGTTCATTCTTCCCTGCCTGTCATGGTGCATCTCTTGATGAGCACCAAGTGAGCCTTGCAGGCTCTCTGGGTTCTCGCGGCACGAAGTGTTTGGTCCCTGGGATGTTCTCCTTTATTCACCTGCTAACACAGAGGCAGGCTGAGACCTGAAGAGGTGCCTTCTCTTCAGCCATCCCCCAAAATAATTTGGATTCACCTAGAACATCATTACAGGGAAGGTGTTGTGAAGTTTTCTTGATGGTAAACACTTAAGGGCTGGGGCCTCTCATCTCCCACTTGAAGTGTAGTGTTACCCTCGGGCCCTAGAGACTGAAGTGTTTTCATGTTAGCTGCAGGGTGAGATAGTCTCTCTCTGAAAAGCTTACCAGTTAAGTGCAAGATAGGGAACATCAGGGTGCAATTCCCCTGTCCAGATGTTGGCATCTAACATCTCAGTCCCCCTATAGATGGAGCAGAGGAAATGAGTACTTCCACCTCATTGTAATGCAGGTGGATTCCTGTAACAGATCAGACAGACTGTGCCTGTCTCTGTTCATTGATGATAGAGAGGCTCTGGATGATGAGCACTTGTGGACATATCTTTGCTGTAGGTGAGATGAGCCCCACCTTGACTAGCTGCACTGAGCATGTTGGGGTAGCACAAAAAGGAGGCAAGACTGTTGAATGTGGTCTGTCCTTGGCTGTCTGATCTGGTAAGCATGTTCATCTTCCTTTGCTCAAGAACCCACCCTTCACTTTGATTCCTTGCTGGCCAAGAGTGGAGGAGAGTGGTGTCATCCAGACAGCAACTGGAAGACCGTATTAAACATTTCTCAGAGGTGCTCCTAGGACTGAGCTCCAATCCTGTCCCAGCTGTGGACCAAGAGATATTTTAGCCAAGTGAAGGCAGAAACTGTAGGTATGAATGGAACAGATTTGTCCTTGGTTCATCCTTTCATACTGAAGCCAAGTAGCTGCTAACATAGGTCAAGGATTACTTGGGTACTTCTCAGGAGCTCCTGACCTCCTGCATGTATCCAAACAGGTATCGTATTGGAGTGGGGGAAGACTTGAGACCTCTAAATCTAGAGCTGAAACAATGGTATGGGCACTTCAGATTGCAAACCAGCAGGTGATAGCAGCAGGAGCCCTCCAGAGTGTCAAAAGGGCTGCACGTCTGGGTGTTCCAGGCTTGGTGGGTAGAACTCTTTCTGTTAGGGGAAAAAGGCTTTTTCCTAACACTGAAGCACTGCTAAATGCTATATTGTGGCTTATTGAGGATGATGGAGTGAATTTCTGTATGTTGTATCCCATTTGACCTGAACCTTCATGGTTTCTCTGAAGACCCCGACGTGGTCTACAGGGAGCAGCTTGGAGGAGGCCTAGAGCTGTTCTTGAAGGAACTAAAAAAATGAAGTTAAGCCAACAGAAAGGAATAAAGCCTGACACCCTGGGGAGGATTTTCTTGACTGGCTGAGTTTCCCCTTTGATTTGGAGCACTTGTTCCATCATGCCTTTTGCTGGGGAAGAATTAGCCCGGTGGCAGAAATGCAATATACTGGGCGTTTCAGGAGTGAGAAACCTGTCCGCAGCAGGAGCCCACAGAGCTTGTACTCAGCCTCTGAGTCCCTGTGCTGACAGCTGGTTGCAAGCCTGCTCAGTAGGGGATGGTGCCATGCCACAGTCTTTACCCTCCATCTCATGCCTGTGTTGTCAGCATGATTCAATGCTAAGCCCTGAAGAAAAAAAAAAGTCAGTTTTACACCCTGATTTTGGTTGTTGTTGATACTCATGCTGTAATTCCCATCACTTCAGACACCCATTAAATGGTGCTCTGGAGAGTCTGTCTAGTGTGTGTGCGCACTGCAGTCACTTCTAACTTTACAATACCGAGAAGTCTGTTAGAGGTGAAATTTCTGGCTGATCCTGGGTGGGAAACACACATACTGTGCTACATAAAAAGGAAAAAAAATACCTTATATTTCATTATACGGTATATTTTCCTCACTTCATAATGCATCTGATCTCTCCCTGCTGTCTTTCCTGGCTGCATGTCCCCACCACAAACTTTTGTACTTTTCATCTCATGCTTCTAGGGAACAGAGAGAGCAAGTATGAAAACCCTCAGGAGGTTTTAATTCAATAAGGAAGGTGTATCAGGGCTTGCAGTTACCATACGTTTTTTTCTCTGATACTTTCCCTGTTGTCCTTTCCCTCTGACCTTTGGTACAGTAAACAGCTCACAGTGTTTGAAGAGCATCCCAACAGGCACCTGGCACAGCATTGGGTCCTTGCAGCTCATGTGCATTCCTAGGTACACGCTTAGGGCTGGCCTTTTGCTGCCACAAGCCTGCTGCTGGCTGGGTGCACTGTGACAAAACAGTACTTTTCATTTGTTAATTTTTGGCGCTGACAGCATGCTGGTTACCTTGTCAACAGGAGATGGTTTATAGGTCTCTGGAAGATTTGCAGCAGTGTCACTCAGCTGTTTGCTCTCCTGCTTGAACACGAGCGCATACAGGTCTTTGAAAGCTGGTGGGAGAAACGAGGATTGATCCATCTATACCTTTCACAAAGGTGTTTTTAACTATATGACCTTCTAACTAATTTTCCTGACTCCCTAATAACATATGTATATAATTAAATCTAGGCAGACAAGGCTGTATCAAGCCTTGGGCATGGAAATTGTGTAATACCATCCAGTTGCCTTTTGTGTCCATGGTAGACCCAACCTCATTGCACCAAGAACTTCCTTAAGATTTTACCTTTAGGGTGTGAAGAGAATTCCCATTGCATGAAACCCACCAAAGGGTAGTCCACCAAAGGCTGCTTTGGTTTCTGATTCAGCTCTGCAAATACCATCTAACGGCTTCAGACTGGATATGAATTTGGCTGGTATTAGTTCCCCTGTGAAGGCTAGAGCAAAGTAGAGAAAACTAAAGTGGCTTATCTTAGCCTGAGTCAGCACTACAGAGTTGGGAGTTTCTGTAGATCCTAATGAAAGGTCCCTGCCTTATCTGTCTTGATATTTTGCTGGTTGCACAACTTGGACATCCCATAGATGCAAATTTTTTCCTGGGGTTGGCCCTGGTTGCCCAAGGAGAGTGTTCATTCAGATTCTCATGCTTTGCAATTGATATAAGCTTCTCAACTCTGCGTGAGAGAAAGAAAGGGAAGTGGTGCTAAGTGGTTTGTGTTTTTTTTCCTCTCTCCATGTTGTTGTTCTTCACCAGCTGGCTACTTTGAAATGAGCATGTTGTGGTTTTTTCCTTGAGGAGCAACGTGTTGCTACAAATTCAGCTTCGGAGAGGTTGTGGGAGCTTTTGTCCGCTGGCGCTGCAGCTGCTGCGGGCAAGGCACAGACAACACGTGGTGCTGCGGGTACCCAGCCTGTGAGCCTGGTCTGGCTGGAGGGAATGCTAGCCCAGCCGAGCAGCAGGATCCTTCTTTCCCACTGCATTCCCACACTCACTTGGTGGTGCCTGGGAGATGAGAGTCCTTGCCTTGCTCCAGACCGTGCAAGAGCAGCAAAGTTCACACCATGGGATGTTGTCCAAGGAATGAGAACCTGTTTCAAGCAAATACCTTTTCTCTGCCTCGTTTAGCAGTGGCAGCCTTATCTTAAGAGGGCTGTATGAAGTGTGCTTGTCACAGCTCTGTCAGGCACCCACACAGCTCTCGGAGATACCTTGTGTGTTCTCTTCTGAGCTACTGGATGAAAAGTGGCTACTTTAGAGGGTAAATTGCCTCCACAGGTTTAAGAAAAGGTATCTAGTTTAGGCCTAGAGAGCACACTTCATGTTTAGGCACAGTGGAAAACCTTTGAGTGAACTTCATGAAGCCTGTGTTCATTGTGTTTTTCGGAATACTCTCTGAATTTGCATTTTTGTTTTGTGCTCTGCAAAACATGAGCCCCTTTGGGGCTATAGAGTAAAGGATAAAACACTGAGTTAAAGTGTATACTTGTAGAATAAAGAATAAAACACTTGCCTAGAGTGGTGTGGAAGAGTTGTCACACTATAAAATTCAGCCTGGGCTGTCGGCTGTGTGTTTCACAGTGACCTTGGCCAATCACACTGGTGTTGTCTTATGACCATGCAGCCACTTGAAAGGGAGGAAAAGAAGGCCAACTACATGAACATTT